GTTGCGTGACATACATCGACGTTCTCAAGGCATCCGTGAAACTGGCAACCAGCTGTGCAGCCATACCTAAACCGTGAACCACCAGACCACAGACTGTCATCCACAGCGTGGTTGAACACGGTATGAAAGGTGCTGGGCCCACTAAACAAAATCCTACGACCACGAGTATACATCCGGCTACCGTGGCCACCTGAAAATTCAATTAAACCTTGAAATCCATTTCCACGGAATTGAGATATGTCAATACGGGGAATTGCTAATCGGAAGAGGGAAAAAGTTCATACTGATGCTCGAACTTACGAATTGCACTATTACCTATTTCAAATTACAGACTTTCTAAATTAGCTAAAAGTTTTCTGTGAAAAAGGCCAGGACGTCGTTTATAAGAACTTTCTGAATTCTCAGCGAATTTTCCATTAGTAAAATAAGTTAATGGGCGATTGGACGTTACTTTTGGATGTGAATGCTTGTCGCAGAGCCAACCCCACGCAGGAGCGGTAACGGCGTAAGTTCCACCGTTAATGACGAACATTAACCCCAGAACGATCGGGCTCAGTTTGAATTGCCTTAAGTGTGGTTCCAAGGTAGCTTGCAAAAATCCTATGCTCATGCTGGTTGCGATTATAGACGACGTGGCGATCAGTACGCCTGGGATTCTCAGAGCTTTCGTCACGCCTGTGAAAATATTTCGGATCGACAATATTTGCTTATCTCTGTTAATTCTATAAAAAATATTTATATAAATATAAATTTTACATTAACTTATGTAGTTGTGGTTAATAGAAATGTCTATCATTGAAATTACACGGAACAAAAGTTTATTTTAAAAAAAGTTAAAAACGATAAGACAGAATAAAATACAGAACACTGAACATTATTGAAATCTTACCTACTGTATTGTGAGCTGCTTCGTTATTGTTAGGGTGAACTGGTAAGATAAAAATGGTTATAACTGCAGTTATGAAGAGAGCTGATCCTAGGACAACGAATGGTGTTATGTATCCGCCAACCTGTAATAAAACAATGTTTTATTCATTTATCGTAATTAAAACTTTATATTTTTGTAATTAATAATTAATAATATTTTAAAGATTCGTAATAATCCTGAATTTAATTCTGTATGTATTTTCTTTAATAGTAGAAAATTACTACACTCAATGTATTTAGAGTAACAGAGTACTGAAACAGTGAATGTTTAATTTAGTTTATTAACTCTGCAAGTGTGTTCTTTAATCTTTTAAACAGAAGATTATTACACTCAGTATCTTTAAAATAGCAAACCAGAATGTATTTAACTTGTCATTACTTAAGAAAAAAAAAAAACGCTATAGAATCCAGCAGTCTATCGTTATCTCCGAATAAATCGTAAAAAGCTCCATTACTTCAATCTTTCTACAATTGCTTCCATCGTTTCTAACCATTGACCCAAACTCTTGCGCCTGACGATTTCGAGTAGAAAGGATGAAACGCGATCCCTGAACCCTTAATGCGTTAAAAAAAAAAAAAAAAAAAAAAAAAAAGGAAACGTAGATTCAGTGAAATATTTGAGAGCACGTTGGTTTACCTGATAAAGCGCACCGCCCACCGTGGGGCCAACAATGAGGCCCAGACCAAAAAATGTCTCCAAACTAGCGAAGGTGATAGCCACGTTATCCGGGAATTCTTTGGCGATAATGGCGAAGCTGGCAGTGAGAAACGCCGCGTTCCCCATAGCCTCGACGATTCTAATCACGAACGAAAGCACTATGAAGGGATAATGGCCGTTCACTCTGTCGAGCAGACCGAAGAAGATGGCGCACGTCCCTGTCGTCATGATGCCACCGTTGAACAATAGTTTTGGCCCGATTCGGTGTAACTAAAAAAATAGTGAATGTTATTAATTAACTCTGAAATATGTACTTGAGGAAATGTCAGATGAAGTTTTGGATAATTTAGTGAGAGGTTTAAGAGTTTATTATTAATAAATTGTGTAATAAATACCATTCGTTGATATTGATGGTACGTTTTAGGGGATGTTATAAAATATCGCTTAGATCAATTACATCGAGAGATAATTATACAGAGACAATTAATACGGATAAATGTTGTTTGAAATTCCATCGTTTAATAATTGCAGTGGGGAGAGAACGATCGTCATGATTATTTCTCACTGTGTGAAACTCAACATTCTTTCTTTTATTACGCAAGAGAAATGTGGAATTTACGATATTTGTCCGGGATTATATGAACGTTTATTCATACTAGAGTATCGATTGTTTCAACACGTTTTTATGAATAATTATAAAAAAATATAAGTATAAGATAATAATTTAGGTATTATTTTATTGTGTGATTTATTTCTTTTTTATGATTGCGAAGAAGATGGTTTAGATGAATGAAAGGAATAAATTACGTTGTAATAAAATTTTAGATAGGTGGAACGAGAGAAGTAGAATTTTAGACAGAATTATAAATAAATCGATAGATTTAAGATAAAGAATAAAATAAAGGAATTTAACAGGGATGGAGAACAAATAAATAGAAATTGAGGAAATAGAATTTCCAATAAATAACCGAACAAATAGTTAAAAATGGAAAACGTGATGTACAACAATCTAAAATCTAAAATTGCGTCTCTATACTTAGAATTCGAATGCTTTCATTTCCTGTCCTCCAGATCGAGTTAGTACGTGTTTCTCTAGTTTCAACATTGAACTATAACTTCAAAGCAAAAAAATATATCAACTGTACAGTTATAAATAGAATCACGAAAATTGTTTGAAGTGTTTTGAAAGTTGCCAAGCGATACTTTATCTTCCAATCCCTTTGATCGCGTCATTTTCTTTTCACCAATAAAGATAAATTATTAATGAAAAGGGAACTTCTTTCGAGGGAGATAAGGAAAATTATAGCTCTGTGTACAGATTAAGCGGCAGATTAATTTTAGACAGTTCTTTCAGCTAATTTTTTAGCTTTATTTAGAGAAACGAACGATATTTCATCAGGTTAGGAGGAAAAAACAGTTGATAAAAAGTAGTCGCCTAACAGCAGGCAACTTCTGACAGCAAAATGAACGGAACTATCATCAGTTAGGTTCTCGTCTTTTCTTAGACAATCTCTCTCTCGCGATCTTATTATTGGCATTAAATCTTTTTCCATAATTTC